TCAGTTTAAAACAAGCAGCAACTTAATCCAGAAAAACTTTAACTAAACATTAATTATAACATTAAATGGGGCAGAAATGATATACTGAATAAAAATAAACAAAAGAGATATTTTTTATTACCTCATTTCATGAGTAAGTAAAATATGGGATCAGGCTATGGAGGGTGTAAGGATATTTAGGAGAGTTCAAATTACTTTATATACTATTGCAAAATCTTACCCAAGTAATAGATTCATGTGAACCAGACCTGGGCACACTCATGGGTCTCTCCAGCACATTCCTTCATAGTTAATGTGTTGGGCACAGATAGAATAAAATCAGATGAATCCTCCCTACCTGGAAGGTATTCACAGTTCCTTATGTTGAGCTAATCCTTCTCACTTTCTAGCCCCAGCTTCTTCGTAGGAGTTTCAGCTACAAGTATCACAACTACTAAAGGTATTGACAAGTCAGGAATATCACTTATTTAAATGAATCTAAACTCCAGCCATTCCTGCAACGGCACCATGCCAGGTTTGGGTTCGTCTAATTTGTGCTTTGTTTGAGGAGAGCAAACGTGAGAAAGTTAAATCAAAAAACATGAAACCGCTTTGAAGTGTTTACACTCCAATTGGGGAATTAGACAATAACAAGAGGTCAGGAGACTACAAGTTACATATAAAGCACAGTGGGAACAAAAGCAAGTAACTGCTTTGGAAAGCTGAGGATTACAGACAAGTCTGGGTCTTAAAAAAACGAGACTTTGTAATAGCATTATGTAAGATCAGTGCAGACCATCGCACAAATATGCGGTATTCATCTGTGATCAGAGCGTAATGGGGAATAAAGGAGAAAAAAACTAGGAATGTTGTTTTGGTCTGAAAAGGCTGCTTACAGTTCACCTAAGGAGACTTGGTACACAAAGGAGCCTCAGAACAGTTTTTGCTTTGGGGTTATAAAACTCAAAACAGCAAAGCTCACAATTTAAAAAAAAATAAAAATAAAAATAAAAAGTTCATCAGAATTTGCCTAGTTGTAAGTATCTAGTCTTTTCCCTACTCAATAATTCAAATAATGTGAAATTTGAAAAATACCCCACAGGATAAAATCTGCACTGAGGCTACATATTACCTGCTGTGTGAGAAGGCATACACTCGCGCTGTCTGTCCAACAGATCGTTTACTAAGTTCCTTTCTAGCCAAACACTAGGAACATAAAGATAAGCGAAACCAGATACAACCCTGCCTGCCTTCAAATTCATAGACTGGCGTGGGAAATAGAGAATTTCAAGAGGGTGGTCTATGAGTGGAGGGTCTGATGGGTGTTAGTGACCCGCCCTGAAAAAAGGAACACTTGAGAATCAAAAATACAGGCAAAAATAGAAGAGTGCTCATGTATTTCTTTCAGCTACCAAAGAAAGAGGGTTCATAGGCAGTAAGACTTAGAGAGGCTTTGTTCCAACTCCACTTACTTCTTTAAATGGAGTGATGCTCGGGAATTAATTTAATCCCCTTTGGAAAGGATCCCATCTCTTCACATGGCTTTGAGAACTGAGGGAGGACCAACGTGAAAAGTCCTTGGAACACAGTGCCTCCCACGAGCAGGTATTAAGAATGTTTATTTAACTTTCTTCACCCGTCAGAATCAGACTAAGAAGTATTCATTTTCATAAAAAATAAATGGTTTTTCCCAAAATCATGCTTAGAGAGATAAGCCAGAAAGAAAAAGAAAAATACTGGATGGTTTCGCTCATAGCAGGAGCATAATGGACAGGTAGAGAAAATATTAAGAATGAACAGCCATATACCAGAGACATTTTATAGGGGTGGAGTAGGGAATGGGATCAAAAATGGAGGGGGGTAGGGAAGTGCACTGGACTATGGTGATGACACATGGGTGACTTGGTAATGGGAAACACACGGAGATTACAACTGAGATGAAAAAAAAATGTACAAAATGATGTAAAAATAAACTATTATATTACAAAATAAAATAAATAAATAAATAAATGGTTTTTCCCAATTATCCTAAACCAAGGGCCAGCGGTCTGGTAACCGTCTCTGGCAGCCGGTGTTGAGATCTGAGTTCTGGTGCAGCTACTTGTTTATCCAACCTTGTATAAATCATTCAGATTTTTGGATACTCAGCATATATTTAGTAAAAATCGTTGTATCTCTCTCAACAACCACCCAAAGCTACTGCTCTGCTGAATCAGTTGTTCTCCGTTACAATACTTATTGTACTGAAGCATAAAATAACAAAGACTAATTCCAAGAATAAAAGGCACAGCTTAACAACCATCGAAACTTAGGTTCTGAGATTATTTCAGTTCAGTTGAAGAACAATTTATTGTGTTCCTTTATGACTATGTGAGTGAGAAGATACCACAAGCAGAGAATCACAGGGCCTTATCCCCAAAACAATAAGGAGTCATTAAAGTCATGCCAATGTTGTGGCATGATGTTGTTTCCAATTTTAAAAACAGAGTCAGCTACAGCACAGCAGAGATAGCAAAAGCAAGACTAGGACAGAGAAACCTATTAAAAAGGGATTTTGAGATGAATACCTGTATTAAATGGCAGCACAACAGAAATTATGAGCAAGACCTCCCTGGTGACTCAAGGGATTAAGTCTCAGCACTATGAAGCTGTCCCCAGCCACAGCAGCAGGAGTTTGATCCCTGACCAGGGAGCTGACCCACATGGCGTAGCAGACCTCTCCTGTCTCACCCACTGTTTCCCTCAGCAGTACATTTCAGTAGATCCTCCAATTCTGCTCTCTACTCTGTCCCTGGTGAATCCTCTCACCTTCACCCCTCCTCTCCCCAACCTCTTTTATTTATTAATAGATTTTTTTTTTTAAATCAAGACCCCTGAAGAAATATGCCTGCATTCACACCAAGTTTTCCACTAATCAATCAATTGTTCATTTTCTCTACACTTGTTTTTACTCCTGTAATCCTACTGGACTGTTGTCAAAGAATATATAAAGTAATATCTATCCAACAGCTAATATATGAATGGCACAGAGTAAAAATAAAAATGTTTATTATCACTATTAATCTAATGTTAATGGAATAGAAAAAATGAGATCCTAACTGAAAAAATTGAAATGACTAAATAAAATATAGAATTAAAGGGAATGGAATGAGTTTCTGCTTCACACAATGGTGCTATTTGTATGAGAATCACCAAACGACCAGTTTTAAAGGTTTGAAGAAGTAAATAGATTTACTTAAAAAACACATACTATGAGACATTTCAGCAGGCAGGTAGCACTCAAGTGCGGGAAACAGAGCAAGACTCCAAGAGATAGCTGGTAATTAAACCCATGGAGGTTGAAGTGAAGAAAAGCAATCATTAGGTACAACCCATGCAATATGAAGTATGGCAGAGAAGAAAAGCCTTCAAAGGACATTGAGTAAAGCAACCAAGAAGTAAACTGAACAACTTGGAAATATTTGAAACATACACCATGTGTGATAACACAAAAAGTGTTTCAAACAAAAGAGTCTACTCAACAATGTCAATACTACCAAGTGAAATAACTTGGGAGTTTTCACTGGATTTCACAACCAAGTATACCACCTTCATAATACATGTATCAAGCACTGTGCTAAGCTCTGGACATAAAAGCAAGACAAATAGGAGCATGTACACACAGACTTTGTTGTGAAGATAAGAGTAAGTAGTGAATAAAATACTAATAAATTGTAATGAGGACCAATAGTAGAGATAGTGATGTGATTGAGGGTAAAAGGCAGAGGCCAGACTTCAGTAAGTATTTTGAGAGGTCCTCTATCTAAGGAGGAAAATATTTGAACTGAAGCTTTAGGCAAGAAAGGACTCAGCATGGTGAGAGAACCAAAGCTCTATAGATTAATAATAGAAAGGAATGGAAAGACAATGCCAGATCATATTTGTGGATCATGCTGAGGACACAGGAAAGTTTAGATGATGATCTGTTGAGCATTAGTAGCAGGGCAGTTAAGATCACACCAGTTATGGTTTTAATAGCTTGCTTTCCCTCACTTACATTAGTCTTAATAATCAGAAATGGGGCATTTTACAATCTTTCAACCATTAATGGTTTATTACAGTATCAGAATAAATGTTTCTAGTTTATAGTTACAGCAAATTACCAGTTGCATTAATTTTACTTTAACCTTCTTCCATATTTTTTTCAAAGATATTTCTCATAACATGCATGATATTATCATTAAATTGTATTTCTTGAGATACTTCTCATTTTTAAGCAATGTATATCATAATGTGAAAGTTTTAAAGAAGACTTCACAATTAACAAAATGTTTATGGGTCAATAACACAAAAAAACCCCTAGTGGAACACATCAAAAATAAAACACTATATTCCATAGTTTCAGTTTCCTACCTGACCTCAAAATGATTTAGTCTACATAGTTATACACATATACACGATAAAGGTGAATACAAAAGGCTCTGACTTGATTTGAAGCAGCTAAATACATGTTCATATGTATTTTTTATATTTCCTTATCTGCAAAAGGAGTACTCATAGCCCTTCTATACCTCAAAAGGTTTGTGTGTGTGTGTGTGTGTGTGTCTATACCATTTACCTATATCCACATCGCACAAAATCTTGATGATCTCAATATCCCCCAGAAGAGATAATCTTCCACTTTATGGATGAAAAAATAGCCTCAGAGAAGGAGGGTGACTTGGCCAAGACAGTAGTGCTTGAACTTAAACCCATACTCTTTAGCACTATGATCACTGTATCATGACGCCTCAAACTATTACCAGATTGAGTTCCTTAAAAATATCTATCAGGGCCCTCCCTGGTGGCGCAGCGGGTTAAAGCACAGCACTAAGAAGCTAAAGCCACTTCAGCATGAGTTCGATTCCCGCCTGCCCGGAGGTGACCACATGGCGTGGCAGACCTCTCCTGACCCCCCACTGCTCTCCTCAGCAGTGTACTTCCTCGATCTGCCTGTTCTGCTCCCCACCCTGTCTCTGGTGAAGCCTCTCACTGTCCCTGGATCTCTGGCCTGTACCCCAGCTCTGTATAAACAAATAAATAAATCTTTAAAAAAAAAAAATCTATCAGACAATAAGATATTAAATGATAAGGATGACTTTTTAAATGAAAGCAAATATTATTTTATTAAATTTTCGTAAACTGTGTACAACTTTGAAATATTTGTCACATACACCATTCCTACATATTCCTCCCTTTGGCATAATTTATTTTTTCATAGAGGAATAGAACAATCAAAGGAAGCTAGAAAAGATAATCACACTGTAACTAAGTCTAATTACCATTACGGGTAAATATTTTTACTCAGTTAATCATTAATGCACATATTAAATCCAAGTAACCAGTAACTCATAGCCTCTCTTCACAAAATTTGTTCTCACAATCCCTGGGTTTGAAAAGCAATAACTCTGAATAAAAGCATCATCATAAGCTCTCAGCAGAACCTCTACATTTATTTACTGTCTCGTCACCTCCCTCTACTTGGATTTTTCAGGTAGCCAAGTCACCCACCAAAATACTGTTTGAAGAAGTCTAGACAGTTAACAAAAATAAACTGCTGCCAGATCATCTGTATTTTCCTTAACAAAAAACAAACAAGAGCACAAAATTCACTTATATATCATTATTTTACAAGTATAAATAATGTTCAGAATTCAAGTACAGTCAAGTGCAGAGATGTTTCCTATCTGTAAATATGTAAACATAAGCTAATTATATACATCATGTGCCTTTGGCCCAGCTGCAAATAGACATCAAAAAGAAACACTGCACTTGACTATTGAATAGCATTCTTACTGAAAATTCGTACCAACTATGTAGTTAAACTTTCACACCACTAACTGTAAATGCTTAAATAGATATCCCCCCGAAAATGTCTGAAAAGTTAAAATTCTATCCATTTTTAATATGGCATTAAAAATCTCACTTGTGTTTCATTCCTCAAAAAAAACACTATTAGAACTTATTCCTAACCAAGGTTCTTCCTATGTCAAAATGGGTATTATTTACAGGCCACAAGGATGCTAACATGTTTGTTTACTTTTAGAATGAACATAATCTAAAAGCTATCTAAACAGTATAGGTCTTTGTACATTCAAAAGGGCCTTCCTTTACTGATATCATTTGCTTTTAATTCCCAGTAGATACAAAACTCTGACATACTGAAACAGAGAGAAAATCTGAATTCAATGGTTTCAACCATTTCCTTAGAGAGGAAAAAATATGGAAAGAACCACCTAAAAAGCAATAAATTGATATCAATAAGACTACAAGTATCTAGTTGAAGGCACATGGAAGTATTTACTACATTGTCACTGAAGATTCTTCACTTAGTTCAGGATTAGGAACAGAGTCAGCTATGGGAACTGTTGATTTGGCTTCATTCATTGCAGTTTCCTCACTCTTGGTCTCCTCTTGTTTCTCCTCTGATTCCTCTGTGACAGATGCTTTTTCAATCACTTGGTCCATTTGCTCTGTATCTGATGTTTTGTCATCTGTCTGCTCTTCACTGTTATCAAGAACATCTGCTTCTTCTAAAGATTCTGAAAAGATAATCAAGACTTTAGCATACCCAAATGTTAAAACTACTACATAAGGTAAGCAAAAGATAAACACACACATACATGAACTAACCACATGATAGCCTAATATTATCCTTAATATCTTTTAAAGGATGTACTTAATTCCTAATAACATACCATATATGAATTAGTATAAATGAAGAAGGAAATATAATTTGGGGTAAACAAACCTTTTATCCACATGCCTATATTTTCATGAAAATAAGCTCCGAAAATGAATTTGAACTGGTGCTATAAGACAACCATCCAGCAAAGAAAGCAAGTGCACTATAGCTTTTTTACCCAGTGCCCCTTTCACTCTGTGTGCAGGGATCAGGGAGATTATTTCCCATACTAACTTGCACCTCTGTTAGCTAAGCACTGAAGAAGCCAGGATCCATCCACCTTTTCCAAAGACACAGATTTTATTTGATAAAATGTTGAATTATTATTGAAGGGTTTGAATTTAATAAAACTCTAAAGCAAGTATAAAGTTAATAAATTTTCAGGAGGAGACCAAGACTTCTGTTTAGCTTCTGGGATGACAGGAAAAGGCCTTCCAGTGTATTTCCAAAGTGTTGTAGTTTCAGGTATGTAGCATTTCTGACCCAGAGATTTAAATTTTGAAGGATGAGAGGCCAGTTAAAGACATCCAAGTTAACATGGTTTTACTGTATTAAAATTTCACTTTTGCAAAAAGTGAGAAATACTCACAATCACATTTGTGATTAAAAATGGCATTACTTGCAATCTTAAAATATTCAAAGTAGAAAAGGAGTACATGGTAGGAGTTTTGTCATCTGAATGTCGCAGCACACAAAGGAAAAGCAGAAAGTACAAATGACACCTTGTAAACATGGACAGACCCTACAGGGCAGGCAAGTTCTGCAGTGGAAAACGTGAAGAGTTGCCAGCTACTGTAATTCTACCCTCAAAGAATTTATCCAGAGTAGAATTTTAAGAGTCGCGGTTTTCCAGAATTGTCTGGCCATAGAGCAAATTTACCTGCCAAGAACTTTAAAATGCTGTAATTTATTAAGTCTTCTGAAACAAACCAAAAAGGCCATATGAAATGGGAAAAGAAAAAAAATTCAGAATCCAGAACTCAACTCACCAAAAAAAAAAAAAAAAGTGTCTCAGTACTGAACTTAAACATGAGCAACAAAGTTCAAGATTCATCATATTAAAGTGGTGTGATGACACTATTTTCAGAAACAGGTTACTAGTCAAATCCAATTTATTTTTAAGATCATGGAGCCTTAAATAAGCAGTTAGTACAAAAAAAAACTATAATCCTAAAAATATTTGTTTAATGTCTATAAACATGAATTCAAAGAAATGCCATGTAACTATCACAAAGTAGAAAATAACATCATTTACAAAGTTTGTGGTCAATGCTGCATTGTATTCAGAGAATACATATGGAACACTAAATAGGCCTTGAAAATTATCAAAGAGCCTATTAGTGACTATATTTCTTCCCCAGGTTAATTTTAATAGCAGTAGCCCGATAAAAAATTGTTATGTGTCATGATGCTTTCAATGCAGGCATCAACTAGTTACTAAATGAAATAGATATTCAATGTTTGGATACCTGTGCTATTTTGTGAAAAGTGACTGAAACAAAATTTAAGTGAACTAGGTGTACAAGATTAACAGGATGTGATATAATAGTTTAATAACTAACAATCATTTAATAACTATAATAAAATGATCACTTTTTCCAAAAGTACTTATTCTATTTCCATGGGAGAGAACCATTTGCCTATTCTAATAAAAAAAAGTGTATTTTCTTCTGTGAGATTATAGTTAAAGTAGCTTAGTGTATAAAGCATTATATAAGATGTTAACATTTAGACATACAGTACTCAACAAGAAATCAGTCTTTGCACTCATACTAATTCAACAGGCCTACTCTCCCTGCGCTCAGTACCAGTTTAAGATTAAATTTTAAAGTTATCTGAATGACTTGATTCCATAGTTAAATTTTAACAATCAACTATGGCATCCACAATGCCAGAAAAACAATATACCACAATGTAATAAAATACAAGTGGCCCTTTGCCCATTCCTGTCCCCTGCCCTACTCCTATTCCAATACTTTTGAAAGAGAAACTTTTTCTACCACTTTATAACAACTGCTTCCAGTTGTCCAAGTTTAAACTAGACAAAGCTGGACAATTCAAACTTATAAAACTGAGTGTAACTGTATAATGAATACCACTCCTTCCCAATAAACACATGTGCAAAAACATGAATGTTACCTTACCTTTAGGTATTTATTCTAGTTCTTAAAAGAAAATATCTCTAAGAAAACTAAAGAACCACCTAGTAAAACAATATCATCTATTTCCAAAGGAAATATTTAATTTCCATAGGAAAATACATGATTCTATTTATGTTATACTTTCCAAAAACCCCGTATATTTTGGTGAATTTATTTAGATTTTTTCCTTTAATTCCTTTTTTACAGTGACTTTTTTTTTTGGCCTTGCAAACATCAGTACTCATTATATTTGTATACTATAAAACATATCCAGAGGAAATGTTAAATTAAAATGGGACAAGTTGTCATTGAACTCAATGGTTTTAAACAACATGATTTTTACAAGATTTTTCTGCCTTACAGAAAATGGGCTAGCTTCTATTTAAGGAACAGACATGAATTTCATCCCAAGTCAACCCAGTGACTCAATGAATAAAATCCAAGTACATAACCAACACCTATGAGAAAAGAACTTGTATTCAAATGCACAGAATGCTGTTTACTTATTTACTAATAAAATAAATCCATTAGATGAGTAAGAATTTCATTATTAAGCAATGATATAAAACTATTTGTAGGCCCTCCCTGGTTGCGCAGCGGGTTAAACCACAGCACTGAGAAGCTAAAGCCACTTCCGCATGAGTTCGATTCCTGCCTGCCCCGGAGGTGATCGCATGGCGTGGCAGACCTCTCCTGACCCGCCCGCTGCTCCCCTCAGCAGTGTACTTCGTAGATCTGCCTGTTCTGTTCCCCACTCTGTCTCTGGTGAAGCCTCTCGCCACCCCTGAGCCTCTGGCCTGTACCCCAGTTCTGTATGAATAAATAAATAAAAAAAAAAACAAAACTATTAGTAAAGATAATTTAGAAAAGGGAATCCAAGGCCCTCCCTGGTGGCGCAGCAGGTTAAATCACAGCACTAAGAAGCTAAAGCCACTTCTGCATGAGTTCGATTCCTGCCTGCCCGGGAGGTGATCACATGGCGAGGCAGACCTCTATCTCCTGATCCGCCCGCTGCTCCCCTCAGCAGTGTACTTTGTAGATCTGCCTTTTCTGCTCCCCACTCTGTCTCTGGTGAATCCTCTCACTGCCCCTGCATCTCTGGATTGTACCCTAGTTTTGTATGCACAAATAAATAAATCTTTAAAAAAAAAAAGGGAATCCAAAATATCACTGTGAAATCAAAAATGAAACACCATGCTACAGGCAAATTACATCTTGTAGAAACCATATACAATTAAATATATGTAAAGGGAAAGCTTTTTGAATCTAGTAATACACAGAATTCAACAAAAATTACATTATCAAGTAATTCAAGTTGAGCATTATAACACTAAAGAAAATTTTCCCAAGTTCAACTTAATAGTAACAGTATTAAATTATTAAAAAGAGCAGAAATCAGATGATCAAGACTAATTTTACTTGCTATTTCAGTTTTGTTTAGAAGCCATTATTTTAAATATTTCCAAATGAATAAAAGCTACTTTTGAGTAAAACAGTGATTTGAGAGCTACATAAGTAGAATTGAACAATAAAAACAATATTAAACTCCTCAAACATGGTAGGCCAAAATCACTCGATGAGTATATAAATAATGTAGGAAGCCTTGCACTCCATAATTACCCATAAAGTACTCCAATTATCTCTCATATCTAACAAAAAGAAATCTCTTTATCAGGTATTTCTGATTTTAAAAAAAAAAAAGCAAAATTGATAAACCACTTTAGTGTGTCTTGGCAGAGATTCAAGAATTACTGCCCTATCTTTTAACCGTAAGAGAAACTGAGGAACCTAAAAGCAGGTCATTACTTTAATATACTATATCTAGTACCTGTGAGATAAAATGATAATCCATAGTCCTAATTTCTCATTTCTCTAGTGCTCTATTTCCAATGCATCTGAATACACAGTTTTAGAAAAAAATGTATAGGAATTCATATGAACAATCATTGGAAGAAATTTCTTCTAGGTCTCCTTCTTTGTTGAAAACTTTCCAAGATTCCACATGAGTACAGAAGATAAGTTGTTAAAGAGTGGTCAAAAAATTACAAGAGTCTTGTGCCTCATCCTAAACGTAAAGTCTTCCAGGAGCAGAACCAAGACAGAATTTAATTTCAAAGTCTTGCATCAAAGAATGAATGAAAAAGAGTTTCTTCTATAAATTCTAGGTTATTCATATAAATAGTTCCATCTATAAGTTCAATAACCTAATCTCTGTAGTTCCTGCTACTACCAAGGAGTTATTTCATATTATATAAACACACACAAATTAAAACAGGGAAGTTCCTTTTCAGATCTCAAGTTTCTACAATAAGAACGTAGAAATTAGAAAGCTAATCTTTCAATTACACTGGCTGTCAGCATGGAGAGGAGATGATTAAGATGATACAGTCTTAATAGCTCAATTTAATCATAAAGGTATGCCACCAGTGTTCAAAACAATTGCAGCTTCATCAGTTCATCAGAAATACTTCCAGTCTTTTACTAAAGGAATCCAGCTTGAAATTTATAATTGTTTATCATAATGTTGAGTCAGTAGTCTCGGAGAAAAGTTTCAATCTTCTGGAAAGCCAAAGAAGTAAAAGGTGCTTTTTGCCATTTTGAGGACTCCAGAGTAGTATGAAAAGTTACTATTCTAGAAACTATCTTAACTACATGGAACTGTCGCTTCAATTTCTAGTACCAAGGAGTTATCAGACCCTGACAGAAATTTTGTCTTCACCTATTAACATTACCTTATCAGGACTGAATTTGAGGCAGTTAGACTTCATTCCGGGCATTTCAGACAGAAAATAAGACATCTGGGGTATTGCTCCTCCTAGATTAGATGAGAAGGAAAGGTATAGCTGGGTGTTGTTTGCTAACTATCCATCTTGACCTTAGCAGAAGACATAAAGAATGGGATTCATTACCAACATTTTGTTTTGTTGGCTGATTTTTTCCACTGTTTTCCCTAACTATTGGCTTTCAAATATTCAGCTAGCTTTCAAATGCTAAGTTACTCATGGACATGACTTCAACTTTTCCTCTAGGTATCTTCAGCATGAAATCCTTTACTTTTCAGTTCCAAGGAGTTACATGGCAAGACAGATGATTTGCACGTGACAGCATGCAGCTCAGAGCATGATGTAAGCATAAGAAAAAATTTTGATACTGGGTTTGAAGTTGATGTTGCAGACTTGGAGAAGATAACTGTATTGATTCAGTATTGGAAATATACACGCCTCTTGTCATGGCTATTCTGTACTCAAATTCATTTTTATATTTGTTAGTAAGCCAAAAGCCAAGCCCAAGTCAACACATGTATTTCAAGTTCATTCCCAAATGTTTAAAAAAAAAGGTATTTAATCTTCATACTAAACTTCTGATGCCTGAAAATTCTCTGCTTCAATATTCTTCTCAGTTAAAGTAATTTGTTCAATTTGCAAAGCTTTTATAAAGAATAAACAAATAACAAATCTTAGAATTAAAATATGGACCGCTAAATAAAATTATGAATTAATTATATAATTTAGTTTAAAATATAAATTCAGTTTAACATGAGTTCTAAATAGTGAATTCTAATATTTATCTAAAATAAAGTTTTCATATCAAAGGCATGAATCAACAATGTTAGTTTTTGTCAACCTCTACAAATCACTTCAAAGATATGCTAGTCCTATCAACATTGCCATGCAAGCATGCAAAGAAACTTTCAAAGTTTCCTGCTTTCATAAAGTCTACCAATGTCTAGACTACCAAAATGTCTAGTAATGTCAATTAGTAAGGATCAACTTATTTCATTAATATTAACTATGAATTTTACCTTTATTAAGTAGTTTCATAATTCATTCAAATAAAGAGAAATAAAATGAATCTATCAGTCAGAATCTTATCAATCAGATCTCCCAATAGTTATCAGACAAGGTTACGCCACAATGTCTTAGTTGTTGCTGGTTGCTGCTTAACACAATACAATTTTCATTTTAAAAATGAAACACACCATACCAGTCATACAGAAATCTATTAGCAGAGCAACAGCTTATATGTATGTGCAGCAAAATATCCATTAATCCATTCTTATCTAAAACCATTATGCTTTTATTGTTAAATATTAGCAAAATACAGGTAAAAGTTAAGCACATTAATACCTTCACTAAATTGGTTCTCTGATGAAATCATGCTTCCTGAGGGCAAGGGACCAGCTGAACTTGAGGTTTCCATTGCCTGCCGCTTCTCAAAACTAAACTCTGGAAGTCTTGGAGCCTGGGGTCTGGTTTTTCTTGCAGGATTCAAGAAAAAACAGTAGGCACATCGAAAAGCTGCAGAGAATTTAAAAAAGAAAATAAAGCCATCAACCAAAGAAAATTCAAGGACACTCAAGATTCCTTGAACAAAAAAGCAAAGAACTCTTCAAAAGTTATTTCTGAAATATCTGTGATTTTAATATTATGATGGCAGGTACTCTAGTCAAAGATAATTTTAAGCATAATTTCTACTTTACTGGAATTATAAAATTAACTTTAAAGCAGAAAACACAGTAAGTTATACATCAAGTTAAGTAATGGCAAAGCAGTATTAATAATAACCTAGCATATAACAGTAAAAAAAAAAAAAAACGTATTTCTAATACCAGAATCATATGGTATTCTGAGATCCAAAATCTCACTGATCTGCCCAAGAAACTGTTGTCTGTCATTTCTGAAAAGCATAATTAACTTAGTTCAGCAGTTTTTAAATAATGGCTACATATTAGAATCATCCGAACAGCTTCAAAAAAAAAAGTGCTGATCTGTGGACCCCACCTCACGTCAGTTAGGGTCTTTATAGCTGGGTGCTGAGCATCAGAATTTTTAAAAGCTCTTCAGTTGACCCTGATGCATAGTGAAATTTGAGAACAACTGGCCTAGAAGTTGCACATTGTTGCAGGAAGAAACCTGCACTGTCTTTCCCACTTTGCTTTGTACTCCAACAAAAGAACAGTGTGTCTGAACAATATATACAAAGACAGTATCTAAAATAAATACCATTACATACAAATTGGCATAAAAATTTTAAATCGAATTGCCAATAATTCTTACCAATGTATTCGAATTCTTCTTTCAAAGCCATGCCATTATGAGAAAAACACTGCTGACATATAAGGGCATACCTATACCCCCCCACCAAAAAAAGAACAGACAAGTTACAAATACTCATGGACAAGAAATTTTAGGTATTATAGCTAATTTACATTTTAACATAGCTATATCTGTTTCAACAGATTAAATGCAACTTACTAAACAATAATTTTTTTTTAAAAAACAAGAGCCAAATTTCAAAAATTTAAAAACATATTACTATACATCAAACTAAAAATAAACTAAGCACCAGTCAAATTAATGTATCATTACTAAGTTAGCAGAAAGATATCTGGTATCAGGATATTAAAATTTCAGTGTTTTACAACATACAATCTTGGGATACCAAGTTTGTTGCCAGATAGGATTGGAAAAGATGGAGTCACTTAGAGATTCACAGTGAATGTTAGTATCAAAAAGTCAGGAAATGGGTTTAATTTTCTCTAGCCCAAAAGTTAGTTTCTGTACATTATGATTCCTGTAGCTATTCCAGTGAAGTATCTTCCTTATTTTCTTTTAAATATTTTCTTTCACTGTTCTCTGCACATTTATCAAAACCTGGCCATATCTAACAAGTCTATTTTGAATAATATGTATAATTAATTACATTAACATTAAATTCTAGTCCCTTTATTAAAATTATGCCAAACAATAATCTTGTCAAATAACTGCTACACTATCTACAAAATGTCTAAATGTCAATATTATGATAATTGCTGTTTACATCATATCTATCTTCTTAAATTTTTATAAGGATCAAATAAGATTAATAATTATACAGACATTTTGAGAAGTTCTAAATACATACAAATTGTCCTCATTGTTAAAATCATTACTCTCACCAAGTCTAGTTCTGACACATATAAACTCCATTTCTGATAACCTACCAAGAGTTCACTAGTTTTGTGCTCTTCAAGTCTAAATAAGATTCAATGAAATGATTCAATTTCTCTAAAAAAATTCATTTGATAATGGTTATATAGAGGGGTTATATATATGTTTTATATTTTATCTAGACTACTTTATCCAAACTCCTACTGAAAACAGTTCAAAACTATTGAACATGTACTTTTTTGCTGAGCTATAAAGTACTTTATCATATTCTATAATCACTAGAATATCTAGTACATGGGTACACATTATCTAACCAGTAATTTTTTTCATCCTTTTTATTTACCTAGTGTTCCAGCAAATATTACCTGTTTTGTGGTCCATCACCAACTAAATATTCAACAATTCTATCCAAAGCACCTCGTTCTCGGGGAAGAATGGGTCTTGCCAAAGGTGGACCCGGAGGATGAAGACCTAGTAAATAAATACATGTAAAGTTCATAGGTATAAATTATATTTAAATTTTAACTCACTTACCAAGAACTCTCTAGGCTTATCAAAATCTGTATAAGACTTTAACAAAACAAAAATATTACTGGTTCTTAAAAATCTTTATAGAGTATTCAAATTTTCATTAAAATACTATACTAAAAGAAGTAGTGCTATATTCAGAACCACCAAACATAATCTATTAAGTAATGACAGTATATTTCCATACAAACTAATTTTTAATAACACCTAGACTTGGCCCTCCCTGGTGGCACTGTGGGTTAAAGCACAGCACTAAGAAGATAAAACCACTGCAGCGTGAGTTCTATCTTTGCAGAACTGCAACTCTTCTACTCAGGACAACTGATGCATTTTACTTGGATTTCTTCTGAGTTGCAGCCTTGAAACTCCCCAAACAACCCGAGGCATTTGTCATGTTCATATTATTTGCTTTTATCCTATATTGCCTGATAGTATCTTTAAAACTGCTACCTCATAAATTTTGCATGGTGTTTTATTATTTTAGTCGAGAAGGTAAATCTCACCTATAACTTTATTATGATCCAAAGTAGAAGTCCCCTAATTTATTAGTATGTGAGCTTTCAAGAGTCTAGGTGTTATTTGTTTTTTAAATATTTATTTATGCACAGAACAGAGGTACAGGCCAGAGGTGCAGGGGTGGTAAGAGGATTCACTAGAGAGAAAGTGGGGAGCAGAACAGCCCAAGTGACAAAATACACTGCTGAGGGGAGCAGCAGGCGGGTCAGGAGAGGTCTGCCGCGCCATGTGGGTCACCTCTGGTGTGGGGATTGAACTCATGCTTAAGTGGCTTTAGCTTCTCAGTGCTGTGCTTTAACCCACTGTACTACCAGGGAGGGCCATTGAGGAAAGGCTCATTTTAAACTTTGTAAACACAAACCTAAAGGCTGTTACCATCTAAAAAATGGGCCTCTCTGGTGGTGCGGGGATTAAGTCACAGTTTATCAAGCTATCACCAGCCACTGCAACATCAGTTCAATCCCCAGCCAGGGTGACCCACATGGCACAGCAAACCTCTCCTGTCCCATATGCTGCTCCCCTCAGCAGTGTATTTCAGAAGATCTGCCTGTTCTGCTCCCCACTCAGTCTCTAATAAATGCTATCACCAGCCCCCCCCCATGCCTCTGGCTTGCACACTAGTTTCTGTATGCCAAAATAAATCTTTTTTAATGAATAAATAAAATAAAAAGGGCAGTTGATGTCAAAATTATAGCTACTCATAAATAAACTTCAAATTCCAGAATAACATTAAATATAATTTTTTTTTTAAAGATTTATTTATTTATTCATACAGAACTGGGGTACAGGCCAGAGATGCGGAGGGTGAGAGGCTTCACCAGG